GCAAATTATTGACCCTTCCTGTTAAAGTGCTCAACTTTTGGGACACCTTATCGTAATAATGTTTGTTTGAGTTCAGTTGTGACATTAATTTCAATGTGTTTGTTTAGAGTAAAAAGAGGTTGTTTAAGTTCAAATTTGTAGGTTGTTCGAAGTTTGTTCATGCCTTTGGGTTTTCAATTCCATATTCATAGAACTCGTCGTTTGCTACTTTCCTTATTAGAATCCCATATTTTCCCTTAGTATTTATGTGACTTATTAGTTAGCTAAAAAGTCTAGTTGTCATTTTTAGAATTGTTAGGAATATAGTAGTTGGGTTTTATGGTCTCAAGACACTTTCTTTTTCTTTCTTTAAGGAAATTAAATGTGTTTTGATGCCTAATTAATGTAGGTAAGTGATACAGCAATATTGTTTGCCATTTTGCTTTGTTTTTACTGTCCAATTTTTGCTTATGTGAGGATTTCAGTCATGTCATCTGTTTGTTTATTACCTGGACTAATTTTAAATGTATTCATATGTTATGCTCTTAATTGAATCTAGTAAGTCCTTGTTATTCTTCCCTGCTAGTTCATCATAGTCCCATTATGTTTATTAAAAGATCATCGCAATAATTTATTTACCATAAGTTGTGTAGTTTCATTTAAATGCACTATTATTATTTTAAATATTAATCTACATTTCCTTGCTTTTTTTTTTTTACATGTGAAAATTTACTCGGAGTTCAACATGAACTCCTATCTCCTACCCTCGTACCTCCTCGTTGGGCCAAAGGCCCAATTTTATTCCTTATCAAGTCAGCCAAGGCAGTAGAACGAAAACACAGGGACTGGAAATGGAGAACAAGTCTCAGAAAACTGGAAAAAAAAAGAGGCTGGGATACTGCCCGTATACATTGATATATATCGGTATACATTCATATACATGTCGAAAAATATGGAAATACAGGGCTGAGGCGAATTACAGGTGTCCGGAAGCAAAAAATACATGAAAAGAGATAATATATACACTCATATACACTGATATACATCCAGTGTATACGCAAAACGGGAATGAGATTGAAGCTTAAAAATATAACGAAATTGGCCCAAGAAGGGGCCCAATTTCATTATTTCGTTTACTCTTCTAATTATTTGATTATGTGTTGACTAATCTTATTTAACTCTAACTTTAATTAACTTAATCGAATTCCCCAAAAGACAAACTATTTCTCTGTGTTGTTTTATTTCTAACAAATCTCATTTTAGCAACTCTTGCATTTTCATTTATAATCTTTAGTCAAAACTTTTTTTTTATTTAGTTTAAAATAGTTTGTTTTTTTTCATAAACCAAAAAATGACTCAAATAGAAACCAATTAATTTAGTTTCGTTAAAATTCTAATTACTTGTCCCTAATTCAAATGTTTCAATTAAGGTCCCTATTTTACTTAAAAAATAAATAATAAAAATTGCTTTTGTTTAACTATTTTCTCAAAGTTAATCTAATAATGCAAATTATTATTATAAATACTTAGTTAGTCATTTTCTCAAGAAAGTTAGTCAAAACTTTTATTCTTCAATTAATTTAAAATGATTTTCATGCTTTAATGTGTTAAAATTGGTTTAATTTATTTTAAAATGAACTAAATAAATTCTAATTAGTCTAGTTTTATTAATTTTCTAATCACTTGCACCTTAATTCAAATATTTTCATTTTAGGTCTCTTCCTCTGAAAAGATAGAATAAAATAGTTCATTTCTTAATTATTTTCTCAAACTTAATCGAATAGTGTAAATTATTATATAGTCTTTATGTTAATTTTTTATTTATTTTTAAAATAGTCAAATATATTTTAGTCTAGTCACAGGTCAACCGCATGTTAGCGGACACTTTGAATGCTTAAACCCTTCTCGAAGTGTAAATTGAACCCCGAACCCCCTTTGGTATTTTCAAATGATTTTTTCTGTTTAAATCTTTGAAAATTATAAGTTTTCTTAATTTCTTTGAAAAATTAAGTGGCGACTCTTTTCTAAGTATTTTTCTCAAATTGTTTTATACTTAGAATATTTCAAAAAGTGATTTTTCTAAGGTTAGTAAAATTACGGCACAACAGTAAAGATAAAATTAGTATATATGATAGTGATGTATGTCTAGTTAGATAGTTTTTCCATGTCAATTTCACACATTTGCACACTCTTTTCAAATGTCTGTATTTTGAATTTGGAGCATCTGTGGTAGAAAAATCATAACTGGACGGAGGGATATTTAACTCACGTCTATCTATTCTACTTCAAAGAACTATTGTGATGATCAAGTAATGACACGCCCTTTTCCTCCTTTTTAAAACTCATATTACTGGACTTAAAATAATACTAATAAACTGCCTAAGTAGCTCGGTGAAGAAGATCAAGTCATAACATAATTCATAAAGATAAGTTATTATTACTTTTTCATCTTCTTTTTTTTTTGTCCTAACTTTTGCCTAAGCCAACACTTTCTAGGGTTTCAATCTAGCAGACCCTTTTGTTTGGACCATACACAACATAAATTCATATAGGCCAGGAGTAACATGCAATTTATGCTCGTGAATCGAGGGAATACATTACCCTTTTATAGAACTAACGTTTAGTGTAGAGTAGTCTCCAAGAGCCTTAACTGAATTTGGATTCGTCTTGTAGGTGTTCCACAAAATTTTGTGTCTACAAATACCACTACTTCAAGGCTTATCAAAGTGTAGACTAGATGAAACTTCAAGATAAGACTTGAAGTACCCATAAAAATGAAGTTTTCATATTTGCAATTTTTGTGGCTTTAGATTTGCCGATGTGATTTGTGAGAAAAGAGATGAATGTCATATTTGGTTTCACTAGGCGTGCCAAATTTGTTTGCAATTTTTTTCTAAGAGGTTGAAAATTAACTGCAATTAAAACATGTAAAATGAAAAGTGATTTTTATTAATGAATCCTATAAGTACAATTTTGTTGTTCTATTGATTTTCTCTCTTACTATTTCTTCGTGATTCGAGGGTCTTCTGTAGTATTTTTCTCGAATTGCTGGATGATTTGAACCTCTTAGAAATGTGTTTAATCTTCAAAAACATCAGATAACACTTCGTTGTTTTGAGTTGATCGGGCAGAACTCTATTGATTAATCCTTTGAAGAACTATATAGTTGATGTCGATGCTTTCTACAATGCTTGCAGAATGTCCTTAGAAAATTATGTAACTCTCTTATTTATCGTTGTAGGAGGTAGCAATTCAAGTGTAAATGAACTATCTTGCCTTCGTCTCATTGGTTCGTGTAAGTCATCAAACTTATCACAAATGTTATGTGATAATGTTGCTTGTGACTGGTCAAAATATGTCATTTTTGACACTTGACGACTTTTGATTGATTCTTGAATTTGACTGAAATTGCCACATCGTTTGAATATGTGGTATCATCTTGTTCGTCTTGAACTTGATTGAGATGTCAAGTCATCTTGACATGTGGCATGAGTTTGAGCTTCAAGATGAAATAGACCTTAGACTTAAATTTAATAAAATGAACTTATTTATTCATGAAGCCCAAATTGATTATTCAACCCAAATAAACATTAATTAAATCCAAATTTTATACGAAATTAACCCGATAAAATTTACGTGTCTACAGTCTCATATAATTTTTCTAATAACCCAAAAACTATGTTGAATATTGTATGAATGTGTTGAACATTCGTTGCAACAATATTTAATTTATAGTCATATATATGCGGTTGATTTGAAAAATGAAGGAGTATAACTTTAACAGAGTGTCATAACTATAATTATATATTATAGGTAAATTTGCAAGATTCCAAATTTGCAGAATTCGATTCTAAATTTACAAGATTCGATGGTTCATGATTGGAATCAAAAGAAATGTTACTATGAATAACAGTTTACCTGTAAAACATGTATCAGAGTAACAAATTATAAAATGTTACTCACAGTCACGTTTTATGTCTGTTAACTCCATCAGACCTTTGTCTTTTTGCCATTTCATTTTTTTTGTTGAATAAAATATACCCTAAAATGAAATATATTTATACTAATTTTGTAAAACTTTTAAAAAATGTATTATTTTAATGAATTGATTTAAATAATAACTTACTTCGATCAAAAATGTCTTCAAGACTTATACAGATAGACAATCTGCCAATCACTACCTTCGAAAATTCCAAGGAGATATAATCATAGTATGGTGACATATATATACCACTAAAATGCAACTATGGAATAGTTTGTTCAATATTGATCAGAAACTGTTCTATCCATGAGAGTTGCATAAATTTTTATTTTGCAGAACATATATAATAACTTTCCCTTTTCCTTTTTTCAATTGTGTGGAAGAAAATTCGAATGTGTCATATCAGAATAAAGTTACAACCACTCTTCTATAAAGCCTAACATGCCTTTACAGGAATTTTTTTTTGATTAAAGTATGTGTGGAATAAAGTATAGTCACATATTTGCATTCCAATTTGTGTAATATGCTTGACTTGGTCCAGACCTTTTTTTTTAAAAAAAAAAAACTTTTGAAATATCTAATCTAAAATAAGTCATAAATATTTTTAAATTGAATTGTTACAACTAAATATTTAAAAAAAAATCATTTTATTGTGACGGACTAAAAAAGAAAAATATCACATATATTAAGACGAACATCAAGACACTACCAAATATGACATAATGTCTCTAGATATGAAATTATGGTAAGTGATGGTGTTAAAAGAAGACGAGATAAACCTAAAATGGCATGAAAGGAAGTTATGTGGAAACACTATCTTATTGTAGTATTAACTCTAGCAACTACTAGTTGTACAAATTTATTAGCAGATGACCAATATCTATTTAAAAGACAGTCCTGGAAAGTTCAGTAGTTAATAATTCAACAATTTATTATGGTAGGTGGGATGAGGAATGGGATGTCAAAGCTATAGCAAATTTTAAAAAAAAATTATTTTTTTAAAAAAAATGTTGGAACCTTTAAGTACATAAAAAGGATAAATAATTAAAGGTGCAAAGAAGAAAGTTTTAGTTCCATAAGGGAAAAATGGCATCTCATAATCAAATAAGTAGAATTATCATTACATTTGTTTTGATTCCATTGCTTATATTTCAATGTCATGTGTGTTCACAAGACAAAGTTATCTTGTCCTTGTATTATGAATCTTTGTGTCCATATTGTGCAGATTTCATTGTGAACCAATTAGTTAAGGTTCTCCAAACAGATCTTGGTTCAATTGTGAATCTTAGGCTTGTTCCTTGGGGTAATACTCAGATTGCACCTAACACTAGCTGGATTTGTCAGGTTCCATTTCTTTTCTCCCTATTTCCTCTAAATTTGTCAGCTTTCGTTTGATCATAAATTTGAAAGTTTGAGTTTGTGAAATCGTGTTTGAACATGCATTTTGCGAACTTGAAAATATTTGAAGATGACATTTCCAAATCTTGTCAAATTTAATGGCTAAACAAATGTGTGACGATAAATTTTGAAAATCATGGCTTTCAAAATCTATGGTCAAACGCAAGGTATAATACCCCTTTCCAACCTTCATCTTGTAGACTTTGGTTATTTTGTTATCTTCTTAACCTAAGGCTTGCTTAATTAGGCCTTAGTTGTGAAGCTTTAACACCGGATACCGCTTTGCTGAAATATTTTGGTACTTAATTTATATAAATATTCACTCCGTTCCATTTTATATGTCTGTTTTGATTCAATATAAAATTTGAGAAAGAAAGATTTTATCGTCTTAGAACCAGTCATTGCCCCCACACACAAAACAGCCGTATAAAAGTTCAATTGTGACCATAGACCAAGTGCCGCATGCTAAGGGGTGTCAAATTACACTCCTTACGCCAGAAAAATATAATGTTTAGCTAGATTAAAATTTTAGTTTTATGTATATATATAATATATGTTGACTTTTCTTATTTCTATGCGTGTCTACTTTTATTATATTATGACACCCAATAAAATTTTTGACTCCACCACTGAATAGACCGACACTACTAATTATGCTAAATCCTGTGTTCATCACTGTCCTGTTCCATTTCTTGTCAAGTCATGCCTTGTTTTTTTTTAACATGTCAATTTGATGGTTGAATGTAACATGCAGCATGGAACAGATGAGTGTCAGCTAAACACAGTGGAAGCTTGTGCTATCAAGGTTTGGTCAAATCTGGTAAGTAACACATGTCATTACAGCAAAAGAGATATTTAGTGACAATAAAAAATAATTCAAAATTTTTTTTAACGATATTTGAGTTAATGTTATTGCATTCAAAATTGGTAAAACGTTTAGCAATATCTATATAAAGTGATGGTTATAACACCCAATACTATATTATTGACACTATTTATTGTCACAAAATCCTTTATTTATTATAGTGTGCTAACACATACTATACAATAAATAGTTAATTCCAAAATATTAAGTGCAAAAATAGCCAGTATTATATAAGAACAATGTATAATAGCGTTAGATATTTAGTATTTAGTTAATAAGTCAAAGGTTTATACTAATTCCACAAGTTGTTTGTTGGAGTAATTGATGAAACAGGAAACACACTTCAAGCTTATAAGTTGCATAGAACAATTGCATCTGCAAAATAAACACTCATCGTGGCAATCTTGTTTTGCTTCAACTGGTTTGAACCAAAATCCCATCGAGAATTGCTACAATAATGGACTTGGATATCGGGTAAGAACAAAACTAGTTGCACTCGTCTCTCTAACTTGCGTTGATTATTGGTCAAAATGTTGATATAAATGTTCAAAAAAATTCAAAATTAGTATAAACATATTTCACATAAAGGATCCATGCACTATTTTTATTTTAAAGTTTTAATAGCCGAAAAAACACATTAATGATTTGCGGCGTTTGAAAGTTTGTACGGTATATCGGGCATGATCTAATTAAATATAAAATGTAACTATCAATAACATTTCTACCACCCCGCTTAATTTTTTAAAAAAATGTATTTTTATATTGATGGTTACATTTTGAGATTTAAAACGCAACCTAGGTCTCACCTAGTACGTAGTTGTCCCCCACAACCTGTCATTTGGACGGGTTGGATTAAATTTAAGAGAGCCAAAATGGATTAAGACAATAAACAGATCAAGACCTAACCCAATCCAGATTTGTTTGGGCCAAAATGGAATAATGGCTTACTTGGTTAAAAAATTGAATTTATTCACTCATTGATCATTCAAAAGTCAAAAAATAAGAAATATATCTTTCAAGTTAGTTGTATTTTTTTGTTTTGTTTCTAGTTAAGTAGAAATTGATAAATTTCTAATGTAAAATGAACCTACAGCTAGAGACAGCATATGCAGATGAAACAACAAAATTGAAACCTGCTCATAGGTTTGTACCATGGGTGCTAGTAAATAATCAGCCACTTCAAGAAGTTAGTCCCCTCTCTCTCTCTTATATTCGTTCGCGTATAATATGAATGAATATAATTTACTTTTGATTGCAGGATTATCAAAACTTTATAGCATACATCTGTAAAGCTTATAAAGGGCATAATAAACCACAAGCTTGCAAAACCAAATCACTCGAAATCAATAAAATTAGCGCGCAAGATACCAATCCTCGAGTTTGCTTTAGATGATAGACAATATATATGTGAATTATATAAAGAGTTGCAGTGTGTTAGCGTGGAATAATAAGTTGTTTTCTGAGTGCACAAGTTATAAACTTGTAATGAGTTTTATGTTTCTTAAGAAATGATGCAACAATTGTTCATGTAATAAATAGACTTTTATTAATATATGAAAGAGAGTATTTGAGAATTTTTTGATGACTTGTGATATTGGTTAATACGCTATTGAAAAACAAGTGATCTACTATAGAAGAGAAATAAAAAGGGCATAACCCTTTTCATTAATGAAAATTATAGACTACTGTTACTGCTAGAGAATTATTTTAAAAACTAGACTAAGATAAATTTAAATGGAGTGACATAAAAATCTTATAACGGATTAGGGGTGATAAATGATTGGATTGGATCGGATTAAATATGGATTGAGCCAAAATGCATTGGATTACAATTCACTCATATAAAATATAAGTAAATATGAATTTGGTCAAATATAATTTTTATTAAATGGTTCTAAACCATTTTAATCTTCTAAAATAAAAATAAAAACATTAAATCAAAACTAAATTGTCAAATACCCCAACCTGTACCGCCCCACCTCACACTTAATTTTTTTTTAAAAAAATAATGTACCCCCATACCCCATCACCCACTCCACCCCACCTTCACCACCCCCAATTCTTTTATAAAAAGACATAAAAAACAATAAAATTCGCCCACCGGCTTGCCCACCCACCACCAATT